GTGAGTGTGTTTGGTGGAAGAGCCTTGATTGGTGAAAATATTGATTAATTATCTCGGGTAATCAACTTTTAAGCAGACCTTATTGATGATTACATTTTCTGATTCAGTTTTTTTGATGTTGAGTTGATCAATGATATTGCTGAATTAGTTTAAAATTCAAACTCGAAACGTCATTAAAATTTAAAATTTATTTTGTTTTACTTCTTTATTTCACTTAAAATACTTCAAAATGATCAGAAATAATTGAATTATCATAACTTAAATAAATATTTTGAAAACTTTTAATAAATATATTTTTAACTTAATATTTTCACCCTCCATGATGAATAATTTAATGAAATGAATCGGTCAACTTTCATGTTTGAAAGTTTTAGCTAACAAAACCAAAAATGTTAAAAATTTATTTTAATGTTAACAAAAAGTTTGTTTGTTAGTAAATGTCAACGGAATGGGAAAATAAAAATATCTTCAAAAACAATTAAAAAGTTAATCAATGTCTTATTTAAGTAACAACCTTATAGAAACTCTTCCTTTTGATCAGGATGGTAGAAGAAATTCTCATTTTGGTGCAACTTTTCCCTTTAATTTTAAAAAATCTTTTAACATTATGTTTTTACTGTTTTTTTTTTGATAATGGGTAATGAAATAATAAAATTTTAAGGCCACGAAGATTTACGAATCCCAAAAAGTTGAGGTTTAATTTGAAGGCACCAAAAGGCTGGTAGGATTTTCATCAGCGATTTGTTAGCAGCTTTTATCCACTGTTAAAATTTAAGTTAAAAGAAATTTAATTAAAGTTTTATGTTCGTTTCGTTTGCTTACCTTTGCTTCAGATGGTTTCTTTGTTGATAAGGATTTTGAAGAATTCTTGGATGAGTTTCCATGACTCTTAAAAGCAACACATCCAAATATTCTTCAAGCTCTTTGTTCTTCTGCTTTTGTTGCAATAAATCGTTCTCTAAACTGTGAGCAATTTTCATGATTTCCTATGAATGAATATTTTAATTAAATCACTTCGTAAAAACCTCGAAAATTTTTAATTACTTCTTTTGATTTTCCATCATATTTAGCAAGGATTTCCTTCGACACTTCAACCTTCTTCTCAGCATAAGTCTGATTGTTGAACATGTTCTCCCCACCAATGATTATCCGTTCGCCACCATTACCAGTTGATGTTTTATTGTATTGATTACGAATGTGTTCATCTTGCTTTGATGGCGTCAATTCTTTTTTAAATTTATTCCATTTCTTGGCGAAGATATTGTCGGTCTTTTCAGGCTTGTCGGTCTTCAATGAAATTGGTGACATGTTGGGTTTGTTGTCGTCCACCATATCAAGACTTACAATCGGTTCAGCAGCAGTGTTAGCACGTGGAAGTGGACGAGGTTTTGCTTCAATGAACGTTTCACTTTGTCTCTTGCTGACTTTTGGTGTTGCTGGTGCTGTTGGACTGCTTGACAATGAAATTCTTTCCAACGATTGTTCTTCAATTGTCGTTTCCAGTTCTTCCTTTTCTTTTGCATTCTCTTCCGAATTGAGGGGAACACGAGAATTCTCCCACGATCGTCGTTTTAAAGAATCCGTGCTATGACCATGTCCCAAATCTAAAGTTTTCCCATACAACTTCGCTTCCCATTCATCAACTTTCGTGTCTTTTGTTGGTGTATCATTTAAACTCCGTGGCGGCTTCATTGGCGGCAACGTTGCTGTCTTTGATGGTGCCACATCATCCTTTCCTGTTAATATCAAATTATTCGTCTTCGACCGAAGATTTAATGAACTTCCCGAACTTTTATGTGATAAATTATCGAAGACAAATTCATCTTCATCTTCACTTATCACACCAGGATCGGCATTTCCAATATTTCCCATGTTACGTGAATTCTTAATTCCCATACTTGGTGTACCAAGACTCGAGAAACTTCCCGAATATGAATCGGAGTCATCACTTTTATCCTTTTTCTTTCTCCCTGTAACGTGCATCTTTGATCCAAGGGATTTAGCAAACTTTTTCAGACTTTTACGCTTTTCAAGGGTGCCAAGTGATAGAAGACTTCCACCCACACCTCCAGTCTTCTCTTTTTCCTTTTTACTCAAGTCACTAAGTGATCCAGCTTTGACTGTAAATGCTGTTCTAACTTCAAGTTCGCCACGATCTTTGTCTTTCTTATCATGTCCGGGTTTGCTTTGTAATTTATACCAACGTGATCGTGGACGCTCAAATTGATCCATTTGATTGAGTGGAAGCGTTATTTGTCCAAGGAATTCGTCAATTCCGAAGTTGTTATGATGAAGACATGTAAGCACAAGCTCAGCACGATTGCCTTGAGTTGGGATTGCTCTGAAATAATTTTTAATTTAGTCAGAATTTTAATTTTTAATCATCTTGTTTTATTCTCACAGTTCACATTCTTCGTGCCAATCGACATTTGATGGCGCGTTATCTTTCAACGAAGTCTGATATTTTTCCTTTCCCAAAGCGATCGTCGTGAAGCAGTTGTTGGTGCCATTTTTGCCTTTTGTCAAAAGACCTTTGGCGCGTTGAACTGAAATAAAAAACATGAAAACGTGAATAACGATGAGCATTCGTAATTTAATTTTGTCAACACGAAATATGATCTCACGGAAGTTATGAAAACAATTGTGAAGTTAACAAATAGTCTGTAATATAATTTGGCACTTTATAATAATGCATTGGAAGAAAAAGAAGTTACCAGGAAAAACAAGAATCGCGAAAAAAAGATAAAAAATTATAAATAATGGCGAAAGGAAAAGGCTTAATTTATAAGCTAGATAAAATTTCATTGGCGAATCAATCGACATTCTTTTCTTTAATTTTATGATTTTTAAATAAACATTTTTCTTATCATTCACTGAACTTCATAGTTGTTATCACGATGATTTTAAACCCCTTTAAAACGTCAAAATTTCCCTTAATGTCCTTTTTATTCCTAGAAGGACATTTTTGAATTTATTTTCGAATTTCCGTTATTAAATTTCAAACGTTATCAATAATATTTTAATGTTAGATATTTACTTTCCATACAGTTTCTAAACCCAAATCAGCCTTCCAAATATTTTCACAGACCTACATAACAAAATAAGCATAATTTTTTTAAACTCTTTTGAACCATATGGTCTATAAATAGACAATGAACTTGAGAATGGCACCGGAAGTTTAAGCTTGTTTGGCAACAATCACTTTATACCGATGTTTAAGTTGAACTTTATTTCATTACACGCAAAGTTGTTCATTCAAGATTGTTTGCGGTGTTTCATTATTGCATGAATTAAAAATCTTTCAATCATAAAAAACAGTTTTTTATTCTTGAAGCAGCTTTCTTAGCTGAATTCCGTTGAGAAGATTAAATGTATACATAAAGTTACTTTTTTATTATCTTCCTCCTTTCTTTTTCACAACGGTTTAATGAGAATTTTGTGTTGAGATTTCTCAATTACTTTTTGTTGCAAGTGAAAGAATAATACAAGAAGCTGCCAGATAAATTGCTGACACGCTTCGAAGATCACAGCGTAGAAAATTGGGGGATTTCAAAATTTCACCTTCACTTGGGAACGACACATTCTTTCGAGTGATCAATCTCACGGTTCGCGTGCTTTGAATTCTTTTGTATACTTTAGCGTTATGGAAATACTTGAAAAGTTATGTTTTATTACGTAACATTTGAAAAATGATCTTTTGAATTTTAACCGAATATGATTTCACTTACATTAAACCTTGAGCTATTAATTTCATTTTTTGGTGCATTGAACCATTCATTGATCAAACATTGAATAACTTTCTGTGACTCATGCTTAAGCATTCCTTCTCATACACATTTTCTTATCATTTTCTGTTATTTTTTATCACAATCTTATAAACTTATTCTAAATGTGCATTCATTAATCATTGCTTTGATTATACTCATTAAGAGATAATTTTTTTGAAACTAATAGGAAGCTCTGTTTTTGATGTCCATAAGCAATTATCACTCATCAATTTAATTCGCGAATTCTTTTAAAGCTTCTTTATCGCATCATTTAATTTTACAGTTGTAGGAGAAAAAGTGTGCCACGCTCGGTTGTTGTCGTATGAGTGATGAGAGGTGTGTTGGAATTTAGTTTGCCAAGTTCTTTTTTCTTCTTGTCAGTACATATTTGGTGAACATTATTGTTTACCAAATTATTTCATCTGTTTGAATTTTAAAATATTTAAAAATCAAAAGTCATCAACGCTAAAATGTTTAAACAGAATTCAGAGCTTGCAAGAAGTTGAAGTTTGTAAATATTTAAAAATGAAATCATGAATATTTCAATTCTTGTTTATTATGGTATGCAAAGTTCTCCAATTAAGTTCTAAAGTTCATCACCTTGTTGTCTTTATCATTCAATTAAACTTGATAAATTTAATTAACTGTACACTTTAATCTTGAATGAGTTTCACTCAACACATTTATGAGATGCTCTTTCACGCCGTTTTTATGCGCTGTACGTAAATTACATTCAACTGAGCGATATAGAAAAAACTTCCAAGTTCTCTTCTTGTCTTTTAAAACTTTTTTTTTCTTTTCCTGTGGCTGCGTTTCCCGTTATGAGTGTTATTGTAACAGTTTTAGGTATTATTTGGAATAAACTATGGAACACTATGATTCAATTGTAAAGGAATGTAAAATTTCGATTGTTCAGTCGCAATAATGAATCACAATTTTCCCTTTCCCTCTCTCTACTTCCTAAATTCCAGGACTCAATAGTTTCCTTTTCTAGATCTCTTACTTAATCCATCTTTCTGATAAAGAAGAGATCGATTCTTTGACATTCCATTATCTTTAATATCTAATTAAGATCACATCATTAAAGAATTTATTTGTAGTTTTCAAAAGAACTTAACTACTTTGTCATGAATTCTTTTACTTTTTTATTTTTAATATTTCTCACCTGTAACTTGAATATGAGTGGGTGTATACATGAAAACAATGAAACTAAAACTGATTGACAAGAATTTGATAACTAAAGTTTATTAAACATGAATAGAATTTCTTATTTTGTGTATTTTTAAACTTTTCTTGATGCTGATGTCAAATAGTGAATAAGAAAAAAATATTTATACTCTCTCCACCTGAAACTGCACCTCCCCAAAGTTAGTTTCAGGTGTAGAGTGTTCAATCAGCTTCAGACAATTTATTCAGCTTCAGACTGGGTTTTTGACCACTTTGTATGGAAAATGAATTTTTTTTGCCACTTTGTATAGAAAACCTCGGTCCGCGGAAAAACTAACTAGTTTATCCCCGGGTCACGGCCCCCTTCCATACATCACTGCAATCGAATAAACCTGAGCTTAACACCATCTTAATCTTAATCCCACTTGCTTCGATCTAATCTTCGCTAATCTAATCCGCCGATCAGGATCGGTATTTTTCATTAGTAACTCTCTAAGGAAGTACTTTTTAAATAATATGTCTGTAGACGGTCGATAGAGGTGATAAAAGTGGATTAATTCACAGAAGACATCCTATTTAAAAAGTTTTTAATTAAGATGTTGTGACATATATGTTAGTACATCGTGATGCTATTTAGAAAATTACGCATTTTAACGAAATTTAAAATACTTAAAAGCACTTAACATTAGTTTAAATTATCAAATTGTTATATTTTTATGTTCTTTTTTATTCAACATATTTCACATAAAATGAAAAAAGAAGTTTTCATTCATAAAGCGAGCACAAACAAAAAAAACCTTTGAATTAAAGTTTCTTTTGTGCAAGAATTTTCCACTTATGTTTATGAAATTGACAATTTAATTGATAAGAATACGAAGAAAACATAAATCAAAGAAAAAAAATGAAATGAAATATTCAAAACTTTTAAGAAAGTTGATTGAAAATGAAAAACTGCAAGTGGAAAATTCTTTACAAGAAAAGCTTAGTTTCTTCCCAACACATGACTTCCATGACAAGTTGTTCAGCAAATTTAATTCTCCAAAAAACTTTGCTTAACATGAATTTTTTTAATGAATTTTTACGCTTGGTGTTGCCGCCAAATGGATTAAAAGGGTAAATTAAGCTGAGTTAATCATCAGTTTGGGAGAGAAGGAAATTTGCTGCGAGGTTTTCATCCTTTTCACATGCGATGTAAGCTTGAACGACAAGTTCATCTGTAAAACCAAGGGCTTTTAACTGAAAAGAAAATAAAATTAATTACTTTAACAACTTAATAAAAAGATATTCAAAATTACCCTTTCAATAGCTTCACGATCTTGCTGAGTAAATTCTGGTACAGATCCAACATCAAGTAAGCCACCAAAATTTCCTCTGTCGTCATCATCGTCACCACCGACTGGCGCTTGTCTTCCATCTTCCGACTCATTGAGCATATTAACAAAAGCTTCTTGATTCTCTGAAATGAGGCGCAAAAGTGCTGGATTTGTGTGTCCAATTTGCTGTAAAACTGCATTAAGCATTTCAGGATTCTGTTGAATGACACTACGCATTTGTTGGAACTGTGCTTGACGTCGCAAAAAAGCCAAAGGACTTTCTTCGTTGTTGCCACTTTCAGCTGGGACTGGTGGGGCTGGATTGGCTGCGGGTCGGGAATCAACATTTTGTTCATTTCCACCTACTGGAGCTGGACGATCTTGGAGAGCTGTTTCTGGGATTCCCATGATGAGATATTCGACAGCTCGATCAGGGTTATTAAAACTGGCATTAAGTGCTCGAACAACCGATTCTCTATCATATCCCATTTCCATTATATTCTGAACCATGGAATTGTAGCCTTCGCCCATTACTAAATTTGACTCAGCTTGCGCGATTTGTGAAGAACCGACAACTGGTGCTGGCTCTGTTGTCGGTGTTTCAACTTTAGGGGGTGTAGGAGCTTTTTGCGAGCTATCGTCTTTCGTCTCAGTCCTTGCTGTTGTTGATGTTTTTGGTTCGTCTTTAACAGGAGTTGATGGTGCAGCAGCTTTCTTTACCATTACAACAATAAATTTCTTCTCATCAATGTTGTATGATGAGACAGTTTTTTCGTCTTCAAGTATGCATCCTAAAGAACAAAGAAATTGTAATTTATCACTCAACGGATATAATAAATATTCACGACGATGACATGAAAAACAATAACAAATTATTTTTAATCATAAAATTATCAAACTTGCCTGCATAAATTAGCTTCTGTGAGCTAGCTGGATAATCCTTTCCCATCTCTGTTTCGATTTTATCTTTAAGTTTTTGAACCTGGATAATGAATATAATGGGAAAAAGTTGAGACGAAGATTAAATGAAGAGTTCATTAACCTAGAAAAAGAATTCTTAATAAATTTACACTGAATTACCGTTTGCGATTCATCAAACTCGATCTTAACAGTTTGCTGTTGCAGGTTCTTAATTGTAATAAACATTTTAAATCTGTTTTTGACAGCTCCTAACTGCAGAAATCAAGATAATTTAATTGAGTTTGATTTTTCCGATGATTTGTATTTTTTATGAGTAAATAATGACTTTAGCTTGGCTCAATTTTCGAAAATTTCTAAAATTGATTTCGAAAAAGTGTCGACGGTGGAGAAATTTTCGATAAAAACAAAACTAAACTAAACAAAACTTCTGCTTTTACTTATCTATTAAATACTCATCATCAACTTGTATCAGAATAATCTAACCATCTTGTTGAAAATCGTGAATTAAATCTAAAGTTAATTGAATTATTACCTCCACGGTACATACGACATAAGCTCATTGAATAAAAACAAAAATGTTGAGAATTCAACATAATTCTGCGACGATAGCAAGGAGACTTATGTCTCAACATGTCGAGAGACCATCACCAATGGTTGACAAATTTGTTAGAGTCGACCATGCTGGTGAATTAGGAGCTGATAGAATATATGCTGGTCAAATGGCAGTTTTAGGTAAAAGCTGATAAAATTTCACAATTTTTTATTATTTTTGATCTTAAAAATGATAACTCATAGGCCACACAAAAGTTGGTCCAACAATACAACATATGTGGGATCAAGAAAAAGTTCATCGAAATGAAATGGAACGTTTAATCAAAAAACATCGAGTTCGTCCGACGATTATGGTTCCCTTCTGGAATGTTGCTGGTTTTGTGCTTGGAGCTGGAACAGCATTGATGGGTGAAAAGGCAGCAATGGCGTGTACGGTTGCTGTAGAAACTGTAATCGTTGAACACTACAACGATCAATTAAGACAACTCATGGAAACCAAAAATCCAGATAAGGAACTTCTGGAAGTTATTACAAAGTTTAGAGATGAAGAACAAGAACATCATGACTGCGGAATTGATCATGGAGCGCAACAAGCACCTTTTTATGAAGCACTTACTAATGTTATTAAGTTTGGTTGTAAAACTGCCATTAAAATTTCGGAGAAAATTTAATTACGAACACCAAATAAACCACGCAAAATTATAGTGAAAACATTTTCATCTGCGTGTACTGAATTTTAAATCCTTAAGACATTACATATTTAAAATATGAACATGAAATTGACTAAGATTTGCATTTTATTCGGGAATAAATTGTAATTTAAATGAATATTAATTCATCTTTAATTATGCATAATTATAGAATTAAACTCACTACCCACAGATTGAACTTAATTAATTTTCAAATTACTTTCAGAATCGTCTTCGGTACCATTTTGAAGTGGTACAATACGTTCCAGTCCACTTTTTTCTGCACCAGCATGTATTGTAGACAGTGCAATGTCCACCATGCTGACATTTCCCTGCACAAGATTCTTCACGTTTTGTGCGAATCTTCATTTCGCATTGATTTCCAAACCAGCTTTCGGAACATTCACAAACGTTCTTTCCAATGCATTTACCTCCATTAAAACATAGTTCATCACATTTTGCTATCCAGAATATGAAATTTTTAGTTTTCTTAAAGTTTTCAATGAAAACTTTTCATTTAATAAAACTTACAAAATTCACATCTCAATCCGTAATATCCGGATGGACAGTTGCAAGTATCGTTTTCAACACATTTTCCTCCATTCAAGCATTTCTCTTTGCAGATTTCTGTAATATAAAAATGAATTTAGATTCAATTTCAATCAGCAAAATTCTTTATTAATAATCTGTCTTAAAAGACTTCTTAATTATATTTTGTTATAAATTTTTTGATTTCTTTATTCGTTTTCTCAAAATTAATTTTTTTTGAAACAGTTTTGTTTTTGAAAATAATTTGTGAATATGAAAATAAAAAAAAATTTCAATAAATTTAGTAACGATTCCAAATACGACTCCGATTTACATTCCGATTTCGACTTGAGTTACGTGACCTGGATCGTTGTGATTTGTACCATTTTGATATTTGACAATACTGTCCCGTCCATCTCCCTTTACATTTGCATTTTGAATTCATGCTACTGCAATGTCCACCGTTCTGACATCTACCTCTGCACGATTCTTCACGTTTCATACGAATTTTCAATTCACATTGATTTCCAAACCAGCCCTCGGAACATTCACAAACATTCTTTTCAATGCATTTACCTCCATTAAAACAAGGTTCAACACAATTGGCTGTCAAACATAAAATATATTACTTAAATTACTACTGAAATTCAACATAAAAATAAACTTACAAAATTGACATCTCAATCCGTAATATCCAGTTGGACAACTACAAATATCCTTCTGAATACATTTTCCTCCGTTCAAGCATTTTTTTTTGCAGATTCCTATCATAAAATTATCAAATTTAAAATTTTGAATTTTGCAAATAAGTTTCCGAAAATTTCGCTGATAATTTAGAATTTTAATTTTTGCCAAAACTTTATAAATTTATTTCGTATCAAATTCTGATTCCAAAGAACCTGCAATAACAAATGTCGATTGAAAGTTCTTCAGAAATTAGTTTAAAAATTAAATTTTTATTGGAAAATTTCTTCTCAAGAAAAAGTAATCACAAAGAAAATTAAAGCGAAAAGTTTTGCATTTTATTTCGAAATAAATGTCAATGAAAGTTATCACAATATATTTGTAAATATTAAAAAAATAATATCTCATTGATATCTTCTGTTATTTCTGGTTCTGTGGGTGCAAAATTTCCCACCATATCCCGCGTTACATTTGCATTTGCCATTGCGACGACAAAAACCATTTCGACAGGTGCCACCACATGGTTTTCCACCAATTTTGGCTCGTTTATGTCGTCTTATTTCACAGTGATTGCCGGACCAGCCTTCTACACATTTACAGATATTTGTTCCCCTGCATTTTCCTCCATTTAAACATGGAACGACGCATTTAGCTAGCATTAATAACAAACAAACGTTAATTTACCATTCTAATTAAAAGAAGAATAAATAAACTTTATATGACTTACATAATTCACATCTTAATCCGTAATATCCTTTTGGACATTGGCATGTATCCTTTTGAATGCATTTGCCTCCATTCAAGCATTTTTCAGTACAAATTCCTGTCAATTAATTGTTGAATGTTTCACACAAATTAATTAAAATTTTCACGAAAAATTTAAGAACAAAGAGTTAGCGCACCGAAACCACAAAAAGCGTATTAAAAACCAAAGTTTATGTACACAGAAAATAAATTCTACTAGAGAATAACTTTTGAAATCTACTCACCACCTTCGCAGTATCTTCCTTGGAATCCTTTTGGACATGAACACATGGCAGGTGCAGTGCAATTTCCACCGTTCAAACATTGAGGGAAACAAAGTGCTTGCTCACAATTCCGTCCTAAATATCCTTCAGAACATTTGCAGATTTTGTTGCTTGTGCAAAAGCCATTATTGAGACATTTTTTATCACATTCCGGATCTGGACCTGAAGTTTTGTTCATCGTCAATAAATTAAAGATTGGAAAATGTTTTTATATGGAAAAGTTTTAGAAATGATATGCAACTTAAAACCAAATTTAACGGTGAAAGCTTTTAATCATACTTAGATAATTAATGTTAGAGCTTAAAGAACTTATGAATGTTGAGAGATTGACATTCGATTTCAAATTGAAAATTTCATTTTAAAAGCATTTATAAGCATTAGTTAAGCAAGAGATTGAAAATGTGATTAAGCTGAACTTAATTTAAATATGAAAAGCTTTAAAATTAATCATATTAAAGATGGTTAGTTGCATTATTTATAAACGAATTATTTGTCTTTTGTTTTTTGAAAATATAAAAGCGGAAATCAATACACTACCTTGCGAATGCGAAGAGTAATCAATAGAAGAATTCATACCTCTGTGCGAACATTCTTTTCTGAGAGTGAAGCGTAGCGGAGTTCCGGGCAGAATTTTTCCTCTTCCTTTAATTATAAGAAGACCGAGACTGAATTTTGCAATGCCTGATGTGAGATTCGAGCAGGGAAGCATGACACTGAATTCTGGGAAAATCAGAATTTACATAAAATTTATTTTTTCAGTTAAATTTCATCGCTTACGCTTGGGTTCTTGTGGAATTTTTCCCTTCGGTTTTATCGAAATTATTGGCGGTTGCAAGATTTCTTCGTTGAGTGACGTTAATTTATCAAAATGGTATCGATACTTTTTCTTTCCAGCTGACCATGTGAAATTAACATAACTGACTTCAGGTGGAATAATCGGTAAATAACTATCAAAAGCTGGGTCTCTTAAAAAGTGAGATATTCGTCCATTCTCAATAGCAAAAATTCTCAATGAATATCCACTGAGAACCTTCACTTGTTGTTCACTTATCCATATTGACAAGTCAGTTTGTGGCTCAAGTGTCTGATATTGATGATAATGTTGATAATGATGGGCTAAGTAATTGTTCTCATTACGGCCAACAACCACATAGATATGAAGAAGAAGAATATTGACGATGATAAGAAGCATTGTCGCTTTCATCACGAGAAAGTTGTCTAAAATGTGTCAAAATGAAAAGAGTGCAATCGTAATCACTAATGAGTATAATTCAATCATAATCAATTTAATTAAGATCTGTCTTGTGTCATTCTATTAACGAATTTTTCAGTCAATAAACATTGCTAACAAAATAAATCTTGCATCTTTATCAAGAACCAAATAAGAAAAAAAATTAAAACATCTCATCATGACTTGTGTTTAAAACGCGATAATAAAGCTGTCAAAACGAAAAGATGAAACGAATGTGTAGAAGGCGAGAAACCGATATTAATTTCGGAATCATTTTTTATTAAATATTTTCATTATCTATCGCATCTTATTCGCTTTTCCTTTCATCTTTTCATGTTTGTAAGATGATAAAGCAGACCGATCGATTTCATTTGATAAATATGGTCAGACAAATCATTTAATATGGATTATTGTCACTTCTCTGAATTTTTTTGGACTAAATCTGTTGGTGATTCACAAAATTTTATAACTTGATTAATGTGACGCAAATACGTTATAAACAATATCGCAATTGGATGTTTCCTTTTATTCTTCTTAATGTAAGAATTACTCATCCCAAAAATCAAGTAACTGTTTATTAAGTTGCGAAAAAGAAAACTTTTGATAAACAAATCTCCGCACGTTGATCAAATTTATTTTATTCACAAATTCTTCTTTTTCACTACTTGTTCGTTTAATAAATGGCTTTTATTTGCAAATTGAGGCACAACAGTCAAATTAAGAGAGACAAAGATAGAAAGAGATTTGGAGACGAACGAGGCGAGAATAAACGATATGATGTGGTGGAAGAAAAGAGTAAAAGATGATGAATCAACAGCATCAAGCATATCATCATCCACTTAAACTAAATGGTGTTTTATTTCTCTTCTTAGGTTACAAACATCATATTTATTTAATGGTGCACACTGCACACGGAATAGAAGAGAGAAAGGGCGAAAAAAAACGAGATTTAATTTCTTCATTCAACATGAAGTGTGAGAAGAATTTTGAAAAGATTAAATGATTGTCATGTTGAGAATTAAATTGTTATTCCTTTTCTTGATTGCTAAATACGATATTTGAATGAATCAACAACTGAAGTTGTAAAATTTGATTCAACTGTTGATAGAAAGAATGAAGCATAAAAATGAGAAAGCAATTACCTGAAAACTAATCATTGATTTTTATGCTTCTTTTTGACATGGCGTTTCACATAAAGTGTAGAATTTTATGCTTTTGTTTACGCAACATCGACACGAATTGTTGAATGCATGCATTGGCTTACGTTTAATCACCTGACTATCTTTCCTTCCCGGAAGACAACAAAAGATGATCACGATAAAATTTTTATGTCCCCAAAATGGAAATCTACATTGGTTTGATATTTGTTTTAATTTCTTTATGAAGTCGGGATAAAATTTTTGAAGCTCTGCAGTTTGCACGTCGCTTAATCAAATATTTATCTTGGACACCGTGAATAACAAAAGTCAAACAGAAAGTAAAATCAAATGATCAAATTACCAACAATGATCGAGATGAAGAAGAAAACGGAATATCTTTAACAGCACAAAAACAACAAACTAAAGTGAAGAGTTGTGAGGGTTCGTATAATATGACACAGCTTGTTTGAAGAAACCGAGGTGTTACACGATCGTACACCATAATAAGCCAAAAAAGCAGCTACTTCTTCATCAGCAGGCCATCTCGCGACATAAGTGCGGAGCGAGAGATGGTAAGAATGAAGAAAAAAGCGCGACAACGATTGAATATTTTTATATTCACACGAAATAAAATAAAAGAAGAAAAAGTAATAAAAAAAAGAAATATAAAAGAGATGAGAAAATAATAAATAAAATAAAATATTGCAGTCATTTATAGACTTCTTTTTGTCGTAGCGTTAGCAGTTTTTGTGCTTAAAAGGATTGTTCGTAAATAATGTTCAGGTTTAAGCTTTTATTTGCAAAAAGGTTCTGTGAGAATTTGAAATATCTTATTTGGTTCTTTAAGCGAGTTAATTATCTTAACAAATGGTGCAAAACTTTATTTATTGCTGAAAAGTAAAAATAAAATAAAATTTGTGACAGTCAGCATTGTGCTGGCAATCACGCTTTTAATTATCATCAATTTTTGGACTCACCACTTTTTTATAGTCTGATATTTTTATTCCTTTTTGCTGGTTTTTGATGACTTTAACTGGCTCTTAAGCTCTGTTTTTACTCTCTTGAAACGTTGAATGTGTTTTTGATTTACTCTTGTTCCGACTTAAAAATTCATTTGCGAATTTTAATGATGAAACATTTGAGATTAGAAATTTCTTAAATATGCTTATCTTTTCACTTCCAATTGCAAAAAGCATTCCCGACAATTTTCTGATTCTGAAATTTCAATAACAATTTGATGGTTTTAAGCCTTCACAGCTTTCATTCAAAATTATATTGCAACAAAGTTACTAATTATTAATCTCTTATACTTAAAACAGCTCGTTTCACATCATCACAAAAATCATCGATATTGACTTTTTATTTGCCACTCGAATTATGATTTGAATAAAAATCACATCAGATGTTTTCCTGCCACTTGAGTTTTTGTTTCTGTCGTTCTTTATTTTATTTTTTATTTAACACATCAAAGTCGAGAATATCCGCGCGAAAAAATTATAAATTCAAATGAATTTCCATTTTGATCGCTATTAAGAAGGAAATTATATGAAATTCAGCTCCAATCTTCTTATTTTTCCGTGTATTTATTTGAAATGGACATCAAAAGAAACAAAAAAAAATTGAACACGCTCTGTTCTGCAAAATGTTGCATCCGATTAACGTGAAGACACACAAGAGACTCCCAGACTGTTCGACTCGTTTGTTGAGTTTTTCTTCGCTGCTTCTTCTTCCACTCCACATTTCTGTTTTCTTTCTCTCGTGAGAATCTTTTCGCTTTTATCCACTTAATATTGGTTTCACTTTGAATGCTTGCGAGAAGAATGAGAAATAAAATTTAATGGATCCACTTTGCAGGCAGATTGCAACGGGGAATATCAAGTAAATGAACAAGCTTCTGAGAAACTTACAAATCAAACCAGATATGTGATTTAATCATTTTTCATAATATTCATCTTTCATTGGCAACATAATAATTAATTTCCATTCTAATTTATCATCATACCTTGCACAATAATCTCATCTGATAACATCGGACGGACGTTCTGTTGCACAAAGAAAACTAACTTTACGATTTTTTCGCTCTTTTCCATTCTCTTTCTCTTCTTCACTCTCAAGGCTCAAAAGCTTTTAACACTTTTTTATGAAAATAAAGTAATAAGATTAAATCAAGTGAACCTACACTTGTGTAAGACAAAATTATCAGTCATCAACACGTTGTCGTTTATAACTCTTACTTTTATAATATCTTCTTCAAATTGCACGAAACTAAATTTCTTCATTAATTTTGTTTTCACAAGATCAACTCACATTCTAGTTAAATAATTAATAAATTTAACGAGAGGACAATAAAATTATTGAGGAAAAAATTGCAAATTATCGTCTTAATCAAATCATGAATCATCGCTTAATAAACAGATTTTTATTAACACTTCCGTTGAAATCAGTCAATTGACGGTTCCATGTTTTGATATTTTCGTTTAGGATTGCAAGCAAAATATTTTGTTCTTCAGCAAAATTGATTAATCTCTAAAATTAACTCAATGGAAAGAATTTTAATTGAAAAACCCTTCGAGTCTTTCAGATAACATTGAAGTTTAAATTTTTTTTATTGCAAATCAATTTTTGAATTAATCAATTACGATTGAATTGCAGCTTTGCGGTTCTTCTCCATGAACGGCATGATATTGACTTGTGAATGAAATTGGTGATTTCTTCATTATCTCAGCAACAGCAGAGAGAATTTTAGCCTTGTTGAACTCCTTTTCAGCTCGAGTACCCCAAGAAACATGGATCACTGGATCATTTACTCCTTCAATTTCAACTTTAGTTCGCTTAAGGTACTGCTGCTTTGTGAAAACTTTGCAAATGAGATCAGAAATATCACCAAATTCAGAATGAGTCTCATTGCAATTGATATCGAGTTGTTCAAGATACTGAAAGAGATGAGCTGGAATTGAAATTAATTAATGATTGAAATGTCTCGTCTTTAAATCACTTTCTTACATTCATGAACTTCTCCTCCTTTCATAAAAATGTACGATAATATGATGAAAAGAAATGTTGTCATTTCCTGTTGCTGTTTAGTTAATTGCTGAGATGAGACAATTGAGTTGAACTCGGAATATAAAATGTACATTTTGCCTGACCTAGACTCAGGTAATTCAGATATTTCCATTCCATAAATATCTTTCAATTTATATGAAGCACTTTTCAATACATCTGCGAAAATTTTTGGATGAATATTCACATTTTTGGCAATGTCACTGCGTTTTATAGGATTCTTTGTAGCAGAGTAATTGAGGAGATATTTCACTAAGTTATTTGACACTGTTTCTATATTATTAGAAGGCATTGACGAAAAGCTTATTTCTTGATCAAACTCATCATCCGAACTAAGCTGTGTTCTAGCTCGAGATGTAGATGGTTGTTGACTTCTATTCGATGGTTTTTTTGGCATTTTTTTATGCTGTTCTTTTATTAGTCAACTGAATATAGATTCCAGAACAATTTTTATGGCTTAAAATAAATTTGCGCGCTATTTTCCCTTTCTTCGAGTTTTTGTTCGAAACCTTCGAACATGATTCAAACATTGGACGTTAATTTGAATTTAAAAATATCGTTAAATAAAAAAGTTTAAATTAGAAGAATAAAAATGTTGAATTTATAAATTGCGCAAGTAAGCTGCTTATAAATGAATGATTTTGCAATCTTTTTCCTTTACTGGACAGAATATTTCTCTGCAGTAAATAGTATCACAACTTTCAATTTGTAAAATTATTTCAGCTTTTGAATTTTCTTTCTTTCCCTTCTTCTCATCTGAAATACCTAATTTTTAAAGTTGCGTGTTGTGATGTTTTTGTTAATTTGTCGGAAAACGGAATTTATTTTACGTTTTACTGCGTAATATTTTAGATGATGATCCCGAACAATTTGTCAACTTTTGATAAGAATTATTCGCTTCATTTTAAAATATTTATCAAGCTTTCGTAGAAGAATGTTAGCAATTTTTTTGTCATAATCGAGATGACTGAGTATGGTTTTTAATTTTTAATTTCTGAAAAGAATTTCCTGTTAATTGTTTGTTATTGACTTGAAAAAAGAGAAACTCTGTTTTATTTTTTTGAAGATTCAGGTTTTACGCAATAAGGTATTAGCTTTTATAAAATATTTGAAAATCTTGAAACATTTTAAAAAAGATTTGGTTCTAAGTAGTCAAAGATTCTTCAGTTGATTCAACATTTGATGCTTCTGTCGTTGAAATAACTGAAGAAATAGTGTCTGTCGTTATATCCAACAACTCTTGCACAATTTGAGTTGCTGATTCTTCTATGGTAGTAAAATTTGTGATATTTACTTCTCCTGTCGATAGTTCCATAGCTTTTGTAGATGAATCTACTTCTTCGCTGCTATCTTTTTCTTCAGAACTTTCATTAACATTCGATAGACAAACTTTGACTGTTCCCTTCCAATGCGAACATCTATATTCAGACGTAGCAAAAGCACCAAGTCCACTTGATTTTTCGTTAAGTATAAAACTTCCACACTTTACAGATTCAGTTATGTCATCACCATGAAGTTTTTCTCATGTTACATTGCAATTGCCTCCTGGACCCTTCTCTCCACACCACCATTTGCTTGAAATTCTATACAAACTATGGACATCTAGAAGTCTGAATTCAGTGTCACGCTTTTTCACGCACATATGTTTATAAATTTCATCTACAGGAACTTCAAGACGTTTAAGTTCTCGTGCAAATCCACAATCAGTAAAATATTTTCCCGAAATCACTTGGAAACTCATAGCAATGAGAATCAATCCATGGAGGTTTGAATCTAAATTGAAGTCTGTGAAGATTCTGAAAGGGCTTGAGTATAAAATCTTGTTTTGCTGTGTGAATTTTTTGATTAGCTGTGCTTGAAATTCTTATCATTTATTTAGCATAACATAACAAGTTAACACTGTTATTAAAAGTCATCATAATCAAATTAATTAATAATTATTCTCTCTGGTTTAATTTATTTAAAATGTGAAATAAATAATTGATTGAACAAGAACATGACTTCGGAACAACAATCGAAACAATTAGGTAGAAGAATCTCAATTGAATGAAAAATTTTTACTGTTCTTTTATTAGTAAACTGAATATAGATTGCAGCAAGGATTGCAGAACAATTTTTTAAGCTTAGAATAATTTGCGCGCTGTTTCTTTCATTCTTTCGAGCTTTTGTTCGAAATTTAAAAATATTAAGAAAAAAATGTACATTAAAAGAGAAAAAATGAATAGAATAAAAATGTTGAGTTTAGAAGTTGCGAAGGCAAGCTGCTCTTATATGACCAATATCTCCACAAAGGTCGCATTGTTTTCCTTCTGCTGGACAGACTTCTCCGTAGCAAATAGTATCACAATAAATGCAACGGATTATAGTTTCTGTCTGAGTAGCACGAGAAATTGTACCACCAAAATTTTCAGTCTTAGAGATTTCATTGCTATAATTATAAATAAATAAGAAATTTTATTATAAGAATGATCATCAAGTCGGTAAGAACAAGCAATCATTATACAAAGAGAGAAAAGGAGATTAAGATTAAAAAACTCACTTCATGTCAGGTTCAGGTCATCATCATCATCAGATCAAGGACAGGCACCTATAGGCCAATCCTGGCCTTATAGGAACCACCATCAAATGCCGAAGGCATTTGAGGGCAATGGTCATAAGTGGCACGTGAAAATGACAACATTACTCAATTTCATTGAAATTGTTTTTGTGCTGACTATTCACTACCGACCGTTTTGCATCCACCCAAGGTCTTTTCTAGAAAGTAGCCTTGGGCTGTTTTTACCATCATTTGACGATAGAGTGTTTCATCTTCAACTTCGTTCCGCTAGAGATTCTAAGCCTGAATATAATCTTCATTGTTCGAATTGAATAACAATTCGAGACAAAGAGATATTTCAGCACTATTTTTCATCCCAGCGAAAACTTAGTTAAAGACAAAACTGTTTAAGGGGCGAAGTATCTAAACTTCTGAAAACCTCAGATCTACATGACCACCACCAGTCTCGAACCGGCCGCGCCGTTGGCAACGCGTTCGATACAAAACCGTGGTTTAGTCACTTAGACCAATGAANCCGGATTGATATTTTTGTGTACATTAGGTTTAATATAAGTTCGCTCAAAATTTAGCTTTAATAATACTTTTGTACTTCGGTACTTATGAAAAAGATGAAGCAGTAGCGTGACCCTGAGAGGGTCATTTAACTTAAAAAATTTTTCGTCACATCACTTTTTGTTATTTCAATCGTCAGACATTATCATCATGCGATCAAGGATAGGCCCATATAGAAACCACCATGCAATGCCGAGGTATTTTTGAGGGCAATTGTCAGTAGTGGCAAATGACAACACTAACACTACTCAAGATATCCCTTTTTGTTATTTCAATTGTCAGACATGTCTAAATAATTCTTTATTTTTTTGAATCATCATCATCATCATCAGATCAAGGACAGGCACCTATAGGCCAATCCTGGCCTTATAGGAACCACCATCAAATGCCGAAGGCATTTGAGGGCAATGGTCATAAGTGGCACGTGAAAATGACAACATTACTCAATTTCATTGAAATTATTTTGTGCTGACTATTCACTACCGACCGTTTTGCATCCACCCAAGGTCTTTTCTAGAAAGTAGCCTTGGGCTGTTTTTACCATCATTTGACGATAGAGTGTTTCATCTTCAACTTCGTTCCGCTAGAGATTCTAAGCCTGAATATAATCTTCATTGTTCGAATTGAATAACAATTCGAGACAAAGAGATATTTCAGCACTATTTTTCATCCCAGCGAAAACTTAGTTAAAGACAAAACTGTTTAAGGGGCGAAGTATCTAAACTTCTGAAAACCTCAGATCTACATGACCACCACCAGTCTCGAACCGGCCGCGCCGTTGGCAACGCGTTCGATACAAAACCGTGGTTTAGTCACTTAGACCAATGAAGCAAATTGCCCCCTTCAGGTTCAGGTTCATCGAAAGGTTGTCCAGATAAAAATTCGATAAGATCTTTATATGTGACGACATCCCTTAATAAATAAAAAAAAATTAAAGTAACTAAAAAATTTAAGACTTAGAGACCAGATACTGGTTAAATAAATTAAGGATTTTAAAATTTCTTTTTCATTAAAATGAATTTTTTAAAGGTTAAACTTACTTGGCAGATTTTGGTTGCAACTTTACGCTCTCGCCAATATCATCACGTTTCATGTCAGTTTTTTCATAATTCAACAAATATTTAGCTAAAGTGTTTGATAAAACTTCTACACTATCATTGTCATTTGATGGAAAGCTTGTGTTTGATTCAAGGTACATTGAATCTTCAGAGTCACCATCATAACATGTTTCCTTTACTACTCGAGATGTTAATGGTTGACTACTTTCATTTAATAATTTCTCTGACATTTTCTCTTGTTAATTGACTTCAATAAAGAGAAAAGACAGGAAAAGCTTATGTTCTATTCCGATTTGACTTGATTTTAATTTATTAGGTAGTTTCCTTTCCGCGCTTTTTACAAAAGAACTTTCTTCTTCTTCTTCTTTCTAAATTCTTTCGAAGAATTCATGTTCGAAAGTTTCGAAAATTACACAAATGTAAACAAAAGTCACGTTGACTTCAAAGAATATAAATAAAAATAATTAAACATGACAGATGCAATTGAAGTAGCATTGATAAGTGATGATAATGATCAGGTAAACAGTATTGCTGTGTGGGATATAAGGAATGGCACATCATTAATGCAATATCGTGGTATGTAATATCAAGAAATATTTATCATGATAAACATAAACAAACTTTTTTTTGGAGGTGGTGGAGCTGTTGGAAAACATACTTTGAGTCTCATCGGCAACAATTTCTTGGTAACTGGAAATAATGTTAAACCATTACTCTCGATTTGGCCAATTAACAGTTCAGATACAATTCAAAATATAAAATTTGTTTTGCCTGCTCGAGCAAATTCATTGACAGTATCGCCAGATGGTTGCTTTCTTGTAGCAGGAGTTATAGAAAACATTTATATATGGCAGATAGCTACAGGAAAAATGCTAGCAATGTTATCAAAACATTATCAGCCAGTAAATTGCATTAAATTCTCTGATGATGGTTCACATTTTGTGAGTGGTGGTCAAGACGGCCAAGTCATTGTTTGGAGTTTATCAGCAGCAATTGGTAACATCTACCACAATGAATCTGTTGAGCCTCTTCATACATTTTCTGATCACGCTTTGCCAGTCACTGACATATACATTGGAAGTGGAGGAATGCGAGCCAATCTTGTTACAGTTTCTATGGATCGTACCTGCAAAATTTATGAGATTGGATCAGGAAACATGTTATTGAGTCTTGTTTTTCAAGAAATTTTGACTGCAGTGACATTAGATCGTGTTGAAATTGGACTTTTCGTTGGAACAAGCTTAGGGAATATTTATCATCATCGACTGCAGCCGCCTCCAAGAACACGAGAATATCACATAACCGATGAGAATAAGCAGAACAACAAGTTCTCAGGACATACAAAAGCAATTACATGTCTTTCAATATCGTTGGATGAGCAAACTCTCATGTCTGGAAGTGAAGACTGTAATGTGATCACATGGAACATTCAAAGTCGTTCATTGTTGAAGACCTTACCACACAAAGGCGCAATTACCAATGCAATCTTCATTCTTACACCTCGTGTAATGTTTGATCGTGAAGCAAAACTTGAACTTATCACGAAAAATTTCCAACGAATGAAGGATAATGTGGAAACTCATGAAAGTGAAGTGATTGATGTCATGATTACACCAGACATGGAGAACTCATCTTATCGGTCTTCAAATGATAATTATAAGAGTTACGATAATGTTTCAATTCAATCATCTGCCTTCATTAGCAATGAAAGTCAATGTGAGAAACTTCTTTCAGAAATTGAAAGGTTGAAAAAAGTAAACAAAGAACTTTTCGAATTTTCCGCTAAAAATATTGTAAATCCAAAGTAAAGCAAAAAATTCGTCGCTTCAATAAAGAAATCATTTTTTTGACATTGAAGAAAATTTGTCATTTGTCAAGATATTTTCCCCAAAACACTTGTTGAATCATATTTTTCGGTCAGAGAAAAAGCTTTGCAATATTTCATCAACAAATTCCTTGCGCATGTTTCACTCTCATGAAAGTTTTTCGGAATTTCAAAGAGAAAATCTTTTTAGCTCACTGTTGACTTCTGTGAAAAATAATTTTCAGTTTGAGTTTTCATCTTGTTGTGAATCAACGTGAAAATTTTACTGTCTACAATTTTTTCTGAGTTCAAAAGTTTTTACTTTACTAAAAACTAATTAAAAAAATGTGAAACGAGTTGAGATTTAATTTTCTTTTCTAAAAGTGATTTATAATTTACAAGCAGACATTTAGAAATAATAAAGTAAAGAACATCAGTTGATAAATGTAATTCTTAACGGATTAAAAAATATAAATATTTACAAATTCGTTTTTATATTTAAACTTTTCTCTAATTACTGACAAATAAACGATTGGGATCAACCTTTATCCTCTCATTAAAGAGGGAGATCATTTGAATTTACATAAATTCACCCAAAAAAGAATCACACAAAACTTTTAAATGATATCCTCGAGCGATTATTAAAGAAGTGTTTTATCAAGCTCTTACATATCTAAAACAAGTTTTAAACTTGGATGTAAAAATATTTAATGAATGAGTAAAAATATTTGTGCACATAAAAATGGCATAATAAAAAATATGAAAATAGTAATTATCAGATGAATGAAGATGTGAGCTTAAAAAAATAATGCAAGCGTTTAAAGTGAAAAGAAAAAGTCATTAATCAACAACAAAGCAAAAGAAAAAAGCTTACATGATACCTTTGCAGAGATAAGATTCACTGAGTTGCCCTTCGAAAACGAAAGGAATGAAAAATGATTCTTTCAATTATATTAAAGTCGATGGTTCACTGAATTTATCTCATCTTTAAATAGCACATTGTCATAATTAAAGAGAATGACAAAGAAATTAAGTGTAAATGTTGAATATTCAAAGTTTATGAAACTAAACTGTCATCCAAATGAAATATTTTTTGTGTGCAAAGAAGTGAAGGATAAAAATTACTAAAAATTAATTATCACATGGTGGAAGCAACTACAATGATTAATTCAAGTGATTAAATAAAGTTCTATTCTGATTTCACGCTTTGTCGTTAATTTCTTCAGTCATGTTAAACATGAGAAATATAAAAAATTGAGAAAAACGTGAAAAAGATAAATTATTAAATAGGAGAAAATTGTGAAACGACATTAATTAATGGAAAATAGCAATTAGCGGGCTAATTTAATTTGTCGAAGGAAGATACAATTTCTCTCTTCTGGTAAGCTCTTTTCCTTCTCCCTTATCAACCTTATTTACATTTACAATTTAAAGTTACGATAAAAAATAAGCTTTTGTTGTCACGAATAATGACACTCTAAGCGTTAAGCGCCCCGTGAGAGAATTTTATTGCTGATATGTACAAAAATAAAAGGACTTTGGTAGGGAATGTAAATTCGTATCGAATATAGAAATTTATGTTAAAGCTAGCAAACCTGTCTTGTGTGTTAAACGCTATTTGAATAAGATCGAAAATATGGAAATTTGCCGTGATTGATTGTATTCAATATTGCTGAAAAAAGGACAGGAAATACTTCGTTGGATAAAGCTTTTCAAACCATAAAGGAAATCAAATTTACATTAAATCATTTTTCATCGGGTTAACATAATTTTCATTGATTTTCCGCTTCATTCCACAAAGTCATTGACATCGCTACATATACGGTTGAGCAATCCCAGTAACTAACTTTTATAGGGCAATCTTTCTGGATTAAACATTGATATCATGCAGTATGAGTCACGCATATGACGACAGTAAATACATCGATTTTCTAAAATGGGACTGATTACGAATTAATAACCATTAATGCTGAACATGGATAACAAAAGACAAATACTTAACAATTTCTGGAAAAGAGCGCATTGTTCGTCAGTTCAATTGTTTTTGAAGTTTACTAAATGTTTTCGTGCATTAGATTTTACTTTGAATCAATATTGGAAGTTCCGACTAAACACAAGTCAAACAAAAACAATTTGGGGAATATTATATTTGATGTGAGCATGAAAATTGATGTTATTAAAAAGCGAGGGTGATCTTAGAAAAGCAAAAGGAAAAATGAAATGAACTTCGGAATGATTGGATAAATGCCTGTGGCAATGAAAGCGTTTTCATCGTCAGATTTCTATATATTGGTTTTAAAAATAATTAATATTGATCCTTCAATTATCGTCATGAATTTTTCATTTCAAAGCTTTCAAAATTAGGGTTTTCCAAAACCCGTATTTTAAAAAACC